AGTATTCTACAAAAATTGGTTCGAAGAAATAATATTGGTGGTTGTGAACCTTCAATGTTGGCCAAAAGTTGTTTTGAAAGCCCTTTTTGCCATAATTTTGTAAGCTTCGAAGCACTCCATCTTACATCAACAATAGCTTCGAAGAAAAAATAGTGATGGTTGTGAACCTTCGAAACTTTGTTGAATATTTCCAAGGATGTAATTTGTCATTTGTCGGCACTTTCGACCTTCGAATGATGATTTTGGTCCTCTATACCACCTTCGAAGCTGGTTATTTTAACTTAGCATGTGTAACAGTTTGCTAAGGTGAATCACTGGCTTTGCTTTGAAAATATGTGGTTATCCTTCGAAGCTTTTCTGCAATAATATCCCTTCAATGTGTATATATATAATACGCAACATCTAGTCATAATTTCATGTTCATTCGAAGCACTTTATTGGTGCTATTATATCATTCGAAGTACTTTGTTGATATTATTCGAACCACTTTATTGCTTAGATTAGTCATGTGCTTAGTTCGACCCTTCAAAAATTCAAGTAAAAATCATTTTTAAGGGCCGCGGGGGATAATGTTGGCACCATAAATTTGTAATTTTTTTTATTATTTATTATTTATATAATTGCAGGACATGTGGCATCCTCTTACTCATTTGGAGGTTATGAGAAGTTATGAAATATGAAAAGATGATGGAGAATTAAATGGAGAACATGAAGCATGAATTGGAGATTAAAAGAAGTTATGAAGACATGGAGGGATATGTGGCATTGTGGGAATGAAGATGGAAAAGTGGATAGTTTTAGGTGGTCATTGGGTAGTTATTTCCTACAAATATTTGCCTATAAATAGTCATTCATGGCTACATTGTAAAAAATCTAGAATTCATAATCAAAGACAATTGATTTCAATATTTCTTGTCATTTTCCTTATCTTAGGAGTAGTTTAACATAGATTTATATTTCGAAACATTTATTTTTAGCATTTCCTTTTCAAAGCATTTTATACACTTCCTTTTCGAAGCATAGGAGTAAAAGTAAGTAATTATTACTTTGATTGTTCACTCAATCGTCTTTCTCCGTCTCCCTCTTTCTTTTTTTTTAATTTTTCTTTTCTCTACACTTGGCAATTTTGAAGTCCTCTTCATTGAGGCAAAAGAACTGTCAACGCAATCGCTTGATAATTGGCTTGAATTTAATCTGTAAGGATTTTTCAATCATTGTTGGCACGCTCGCATTTATAATATTTTCCTTCGTAGGAAAAATAAGCCAACAACTACCTATCCCCAACTTTCATGGCATTGCCCCACCCCTACCTCATCCTCATTGTCCACAAACCCATCAATAGCAATTGTGGCATTTTAACAAACACCTTATGAACGAGAGAGAGATAAGACCACTGCTCCAACTTTCGTCAATAAAATAGATACAAATTATATATATATACAAGGGTAAAATAGTCTTATTCTTTCTACATGTTATTTGTGCACTTCAATCCAGTAATAACTAAGGGTTATATAGTAATTTCTAAATGTCAGGAGGTAAATCGTACACAACCCAAACAATAGAGAGGTAAAGTGAAATTTGCCCCAAAATATAATAAGTTATAATTAAATATTACATAAAATATAACCAAAGAAATTTTTAATCATAATCAAAATAATAAATGAATGATAACTAATTTCACAATAATTTACAATTAAATTATAACTAATACCAAAATAGATCATATTAAAACCATCCCAACTAGACATGTGATGTGTATTATAAAGTTTTCCATTTAAATGACTTAAAAATGAGAAATTCTACTATACACAACTCTTGAAAGAATGTACTATATACATCTCTAATTTTGTTATTTTTTTTCTTTAATTATAATTAATTTTTTTCTTTAATTTTGATAATATTTTAGTTACGACTCATGAAATTTTTGATTATATCTCAAGTAGTATTTGATTATAATTTTTTAAAATTATGATTTAAAAAATATAGAGTTATACTATTTTCTTTTTTAGTTATAAGGTATATATGGTACACATACTTAGGGGTTGTTTGGTTTTTGTGTTGGGCTAAAAAATTACAGAAGGACAAAAAAAATTTAAAAATTACAAAAAGCTAAAAATCACAAAAAGACAATAAAAAAAAATTTTACCATTCAAAAGCTAAAAAGTCAAAAAAAACTAATCAAAAATACCAAACAACCAAAAAAATCTCAGATTAAAAAAATTAAAAAGACCAAAAAATTAATTAAAAAAATCATTTCCCAACGAAAGCTTCGTCTTTCCTCTTAAAAATTATCTAGACTTAAATAGATGTGAACAAACCATCAGGGTGGTGGTTTAGTAGTTCTTCGTCTCCTTCCACAAAGTTTTTGTACATGAGTTGATTCCTGAGAGGGTAATTTTTGGGAAAAAATTGGGCCGAGCTGCAAGTTGGGCTTTGAGGCCCAAAACATGAAGGACTAAGTGAGAATGCCGTAAAGGATACTCTGGCCCAGGAGAGCAATGTTACTCCGGCCCAGGAGAAGCGTAGTTACTCCGGCTGGGAGAAGTAAATGTTACTTCGGCTCAGGGATGTATAGATACTCCGGTCCGGGGTGGCTTCTAGTTAAACCGATCTCCGAGATAGTCCGGTTATAAGTTGTTCCGGTCAAGATCGGTCGGAATGTTATTACTTGGTAGGGCGGTTCAAATGCACCACGGTTCGTGTATGGGAGAACCAATATATGGTGTGGCAAGAAGAACCGAACTACGGTTAGTATGGCCTATTCTACGGTTCGGCATAGCCAATGCTATTTCGGTCATGAGGTAGTTCGGCCGAAGAGAAAACCATCCCACTTGGTTTAAGCAGTGGGGGAGGGTGTAAAAGGATAAGCATTATCCTTAGGAGTATGAATCCTAGGAGGACTCTGCATGGAGAAATACAAGTCCTAAAATACCAAACAACCAAAAAAATCTCAGATTAAAAAAATTAAAAAGACCAAAAAATTAATTAAAAAAATCATTTCCCAACGAAAGCTTCGTCTTTCCTCTTAAAAATTATCTAGACTTAAATAGATGTGAACAAACCATCAGGGTGGTGGTTTAGTAGTCCTTCGTCTCCTTCCACAAAGTTTTTGTACATGAGTTGATTCCTATCGTAAAGTTTTACGATTCTTGTTGCTTTGAAGTGGGTGCGAAGCGATAGAGGGTCATTTTCTTTGGATTGATTTAAATCTAACCAAATTATGCCAGATTGTTTTTACACTATCATCGACTCTCTTCTGTTCCAAGAAAAAAAACACATTTTTTTTTATTATAGAAAAATGTTATAAATTCTAAATAACTTATCAAACCTCTCACACTCATATGATAGGTTTGGTAGAAAATTTGATAAATTATTTGTAGTAACTCTTTTTTTATTTGAGAGCAACTTGTTTTCAGTCTACAAAGGGTGTGTTTGATTGGGGGATTAGAATGGGGGATTATCCATTATTTGGATTGTAATCCAAATAGTGCACCTTATCCGTCGTTTGATTTTTTTTTTAGTCTGGCGGACTCCATGTCCGGCCGGACTCCATGTCCCCCATATGGGGGACTATCCTGTCCTGGGGGGTGTGGGATTGTTTTGGGGGGACTAATCACTGTTTGGATTAGATGCGAAAATGACAATTTTGACCCTCTACTATTTAATTATGTATTATATTTAATAAAATTTAATAAAATTTAAATGTCTCAATTTAAAAATAAAATAATTTTATTTAACTTTTTATTAATGTTTTATTTATTTAATTTTTTAAAATAATTTTTTATAGATATTTTATTGATGTTTTATTTTAAAATTTTGTTTATGTTTTATTTAATTTCATTATTTAAATTTAATACATGTTTTAATAGATGTTTTATTTAAACAATTAAATGTTTAATTTCAACAATAAATAATTTCATTTATTTAAATTATGTTTTATCTAAACATTTGTACATCAACATGTTTATTAAATTATTTCAACATCTGTACATCAACATGTATATTTATTTAACATCTATTAAATTATGTTTTAATACGTCAACATTTGATTACATCTACATTTGTTAATTGTTAATTACATCAACATTTGTTAATTGTTTAAACATAATCTATACATCAACATTTATTTAATTGTTAATTGTTAATTCCATTAGTATGTTTAATGTTTACTAAAAATAATTAAAATATTAAAGATATGTTTAATATTGCTATTACATAGTAAACAATTGAAAAAGGGTAAAATAGTCTTTTGTTCATTTATCCTATCCAGTCCGTCCAACCAAACGTTGGATTCACTGAAAATAGTCCTATCCAGACATCTAATCCCATGAAAAAACAAACACAGGATACATATCCAATCCGACCAAATAGTCCGGGGGATTCACAGTCCCAGGACTCAAGTCCGATGGATTCTAATCCTCCCTTTTCCAGTCCGTCCAATCAAACACACCCAAAGTGGACTGGACGATGTTGTTGAGCTCGTGAGGCCCACTACGTGTTTGGTTTTGATAATGTGAACCGTCAATATGTAGAGCTGGTCAAGTGTTTTATTCTTATAAAAAATCACATTGATCGAATATTAATAATTACATAACCAGAACAAATTTTTATCAATAATTTATTTTAAAAATTATATTTACCGTAAATATAAATTTAATTCGATCAAGTAACCATTAATATTTGATCAATATAAATTTTTACAAAAATTAATTATTTAATAAATTTTACATATTAAATTATTTAAATTATTAAAATGAGAACGGTAATAAATATTTACAAGTATAAAAATACGAGTCCTGCTGGAGACCCCAGCAGGAGAGGACCCCCAGCACCCCCACCTCCACGTGGGGGGCTGCCAATGGATGAAAAAAAAAAAACAATTTTTTTGGACCAATGAGAAGGGACCCCCAGCACCCCCACTGGGGTCTCATGCATTTTCCTAAAAATACCTTCCAATCTAATCACGGATCCGATAGAAACGTTGCGCTTTTTATTTTATATTTTGGGTCCCCAAAACGGAAAGCTGCTCTCAGTCCTCCATTTCTCAGCGCAGTGTGTTGTCTTCACTGTAACTGATGCAGAGGAGCCAAGTCACAACAAAGCTCTCTGCATCGTCCCCATTTCTTCTTCCTCCGATCTCTGCCCTCATTTTCCCTCACCACAACCACCATTACGTTTTCACTCTCTAAACCCCAAACACAAAACCCCAAATCATATCCTCCCAACTAAAAATCTAACCAACCCCCCATTTAACTTAAACAAATAGCCCAAAAAAAAGAAAAAAAAAGAAAAGAAAAAAACCCTACCTGAAAAGAAACGGAGTCAACAAACCCACATGGATCTGTTCATTCTCAGCTTCTCTCTCACTCTATTTTCACTTTCAAAAGGTAAATCCACCAGATCACTCATTTCTTTCATCTGGGTTCTGTTGCATTATTGGACTTGGTTTTCACTACCATATTGATTTTGATATCCTATTTTCTAATTAGTAGTATTAATTAGTCTAACTTGGACTTGGTTTTCACTTCCATATTGATTTGGAGTTGTGAGAGACTTATCTGACTTTTTAAAATTTTGAATTTAATGTTTGCTAGTTGATTTTGGACTAGATTACAAGTAAACTCAACCACACTAAAATTTTGGATTTAGTGTTCCTTAGTTTCTTTCTCATTGTCATGTGCTCTGTTTGTTTCTCAGGAATTTCAGGAGCTACATTCACTTTTGTCAACAAATGCGACTACACAGTATGGCCCGGCATTCTCGCAAACACAGGGAGCCCAAGCCTCGACTCCACTGGATTCGAGCTCCCTCAAGACTCCTCACGCACATTCCAGTCTCCAACCGGCTGGTCGGGCCGGTTCTGGGCCCGAACCGGCTGCAACTTCGACGGATCCAACCCCATTTCATGTTCCACAGGCGACTGTGGGTCGGGTCAAGTCGAATGCAACGGTTCCGGAGCCTCCCCGCCTGCGACTCTAGCCGAGTTCACACTCGGGTCGGGCGGACAGGACTTCTACGACGTTAGTTTAGTTGACGGGTACAACATTGCGATGATAGTGGAAGCGAGTGGCGGGTCGGGTATGTGTGCGACCACCGGATGTGTGACCGACTTGAATTTGCGATGCCCGGCTGAGCTCAGAGTGGGGGAGGGGGAGGCGTGTAAGAGCGCGTGTGAGGCGTTTGGGAGCCCCGAGTATTGTTGTAGCGGCGCGTATAACTCACCAGCTTTGTGTAAGCCGTCGGTGTACTCGGAGTTGTTTAAGTCGGCTTGTCCGAGGTCGTATAGCTACGCTTACGATGATCCGACGAGTACGTTCACGTGTATGGGTGCTGATTATACTGTCACATTTTGCCCCTCCATGCCCAGGTAAATAATTTCCCCGATTTGCTTCTTTTTTTTTTTTTTTTTTTTAATTTTGTAAGTAACAATCAACCGTTAATTAGCTCAAAATATTATCTTTTTAAATTTTACTTTTTCTATTAGGGGTGGTTTGGCATCCCTAAATAATTTATTTTTTTATTTTTTTTTTCATCATATCACTTCTCTATTTTTTTGTATTTTATTTTTTTCGTAAAATGACAAAAAGGCACTTACAAAACAAGAGTGATTCATTCTTATAAAATTACAGCTCACTGAAAAATAAAAAATAAAAATCACTAATAGCACTAATGCATTGAGAATATTAAAAAAAAAAAAAAAAAAAGCCAAAAGGAAGAAAATTAGGGGCCACTATCACATCATGTGTTATTGGAGTATCACTTTTAATACTCTTAATCATTGTTTTAAAAAAAAAGAAAAATGCTTGGAAGCACTAAAAAGGGAGTACTAATAATGTGACAGTGGGTTTTTTTTGTCATTTCTAATACATTAGTACTGTTAGTGGTGTATTTTTTAATAGTCTAAATCATTGTTGAAAAAAAATTATAAGATTAAAACATCCCATCAAATAAGACTTACAAACATTAGAGTTATGGGTTTGGTTATGGTGTGCAACTTACACCTTACACCTTATACCTTACACTTAAACCTTTTGTAAAAAATTAAACCTTACACTTACACCTTTTTTGAGGTTGCACACCATGTGCAACCCATTTACACCTTACACTTACACCTTATACTTATACTTACACCTTACACTTACACTTTTTGTGTAAGTGGCACATGGTGTGCACTTGCACACTTAAGAAAACTCCTAGAGTTATTAGAGTTCTTTTTCTAGAGTTTTTAAATATTTTTGTATACAAAATTAAATATGTAAAATATATGATACATTTATTAAAATTTTAAGATAATAATGTACTTATTTAGTGATTCTGATTGTATTTTGTCCCTAAAATAAAAGAGATGAAATGTAAACGACATCATTAGATAAATATATTATTATCTTAAAACTATTATTACTTTTAAAAAATTAATAATTGTGTCATGTATTTCATATATGACCTGATTTCATTTGAATTTGAGATAAAATTATAATGGAAGATGTTAAGTGTAATAAGATATTAATTCGAGTTGATAAGTTCTTAATTAAATAGTTTTTAAAATGTAATAATTTAAGAGAATTTATTGTAATTTGCTCTTATTTTTATTTATTTATTTATTTTTTTGGCTCCAATGAGCAAGAGAGAGAAAATGGAAAGGGCCTGCCACGGCAGAAAGTGTGAGGAAGGAGAGACCAAAAAAGAAGGGATATTTGACATTATTTATTTTTTTGAGTAATGATGGGAATTTTAAATAAATTATTAAATATTTCAACGTAAAATATTGTGTAAAAAAATTAGTAATTCATTTATCACTTTTAACATTTTTGTTATTTTTTATACTTTATTAACATCTAGATCGTAATACTCAGCACACTGGTTAACTTAACAAATTTTAATACACAAAATTAAGTTATATTTTTATTTTTTTTTGTCATATCACTATCACAATTTTAACAATTTCAATCTCAACGAGTATTTAGGCTTTGTAGGCTGATTTTAAAACCAAGTTCAGTGATATGATGCGTTCACTTTTTAAAACTTATTAAGAAAATTATTTATGTAAAAAATTAAGATAATTAGACATTAGTAACTATATGTTTAAATCATATTTGTGTTAAAAAAATAGATAGTAAATATAATTTTAAGAATATCTATCTATTTTTTGTAATACAAATTTGATACAAACATATAATTACTGATATTCAATCATTTTAATTTTTTGTATAAATATTCTACTTGGTGAGTCCTACAAGATAAACGGTTGGGATGACTGAAATTGGTCTCAAAATGAGCATATTAAATTTAAACACACTCTCAAGATGGCCGACCTAAGAAGCATTAACTCATCTTTGGTAGACCCTTTGCATCAACTTTAAGATGGTAAACTTGAGTTTCAAAGGTTACTTAGCGAGATTCAAATCTTTATCAGTCATGTGGAGAGCATACTTACCAATTCAAATACTCCATTAGAAGAACTTAAAATTTTGACAATATATTATAATTGGAGAGAGTTTTGATGAAGGGTACTGGAGATGCTCTTTTAACATTTGTTTACTTGGTTTAGAGAATCTAGGAATTAATTCAAGAAGTTGGGTCACAATCAAAACAAATAGAGAAAAGTTAGGCATCATGAAATTTTTTTTATAAAAATGATCTTAAAAGATTTATGATCTTTGAATTACCTTGATTAGTGTGTTGTTTTATTTTAAGTGTAATCTAAAAGTTACAAAGACTTTCATGATTATTTTTATGAAATTTTTTTATAATAATTAGCATTATTGAAATAAATAATGTAATTTACTGAGGACCATTACTTTCCCACCAAAGAATCTGACTTTAGTTGATGATGATGATGTATATTCTGCAGAGCTCATTAAAATGTTGCAGTTTTTATATTGGGTTGTATTCAATTTCTGTCTTCTGTCTGCAGTCAGAAATCTACTACAGATTCCCCATCAACACCAATAACAACTACACCTACTACTACTTCCACTACAACATCAGCAGATGGCTCAGGATCCGAAACAATGGACTCGGGTTCCGGGTTCGGAACAATGGGGTCAGGTTCAGAAATAATGGGTTCGGGTTCAGGGTCAGGATCTGGAGGAGCTATGTTGGCTGATGGGTCATGGTTAGCTGGTTTGGCCATGGGTGATTCGACCCGGATTCACTCTCCCTGTGCTGCTTTACATTCTGCACTCATTGCCTCAGCAACTTTCTCTTTTCTATTACTATCTTTTCTTTACTTGTAGTCTCTCCCATCTCTCTCTGTCTCTCTTTTTGTCTCTTTTTGCCTTTTGGTAGGAAAGCGGACAGATTCATCCAGATTGTAAACCACCATTCACTTTCCCCTACCAAATTTTGAGTGTAATATGTGTAAAATGTGTTTGATTTGGAATTCTACACTTTTTTTAAGGTTTTGCTATTGTGAGTGTATTTTTTGTTTTTTTGTTTTTTTGAACTTGATATGAATAGAGCTGGACTCACAAGAAACCAACAAATTGTTATGCACAAATTGAATGGATAGGACACAGAATATGCATAGTTACATAGTTTGTTAATGTACTTTAAGTTTACGGAGTGAAGAAAATCAAATACGCTGTGCTTATTAAGAATTGAAGCTCATGTTTGTTTGGATGGACATGGACATGGGCTTGGGATTGGACTAATAGTCCAATAAAATTATTAATTCGATGTTTGGTTAAACAATTGAACTACGGATTAATTATTTTAAACTTGATTATTAGTTAAGATAGGATACATAATCCAACGGATTCGTAATCCTAGGACTATTAGTCATGGGAATGCTAATCCAATCCGCCCAAACAAACATGGCCGAAGAGTTCTAAATCTCTCAATTTAGCCATTCTATAATAATGTCACATTCTCACACATTGAAATGCTACTAGAAAAATATAACCGGTACTTCTGACCAATAACTTTGAGTGTATGATTGTAAAATGAAAATTTCATTTGAAATCATTTTTAAAAAGTAAAAAAATTAAATTTAAGTACATATTAAAACTACTTGAGTTTTTTAAATTAAACTTGACTAATGTACTATTCAAAGGATTGTTGATTGGTGTAAAGAAATTAGTCTTGTTAGTAGTGAGTGTAATCTAAACTTGTGTAGAGAATAATGGGGGGCTTAGAGTGTCAGTCAATACACTTTGCGGCAATCGAAAGCATATATTTTATTAGTAGCTTAACTTTTGTCACTTGTCTGCTATCTCATAAATAGAATGAGTATTTTATTGAGCCCCATGTGCCATGTTTGGTGGGATGTGAAATGATGTTGATTCCCTTTGATGGGTTTTCAAAATAAAAAAAAAAAAAAAAAATGGTTTCATCCCCTTTTGAAGACTAAGAGCATCTTAACTGATGTTATTTTAGAGAGCATCAACATAAAAAACAGAACTCCAATAGCTTCAATCACCACTAATTACTTTGGCTAAGTGCTACATTGTCTAAACAAATCTAGTTACTGTTTATTAGCCAATCAAATAATGCTAGAAATGCTATAACGCCAAACACAGTCTCATCAACCATTATAACATGAAGGATTAATTCAAAGAATGGAATCATTTAGGCTGTATTTGGTTGGAGTATTTGATGAAAGAAATGAAAAGGAAAAAGTAAATATAATTTTACTTTTTGTTTGGTTGTAACGAAAAATACAAAGAAAAAAAAAAGTGAAAGGAAATTACAATCTTACTTTTTGTCTTTTTAGTTCACTTAGACTGTGTTTGGTTGAGGAATTTAGAGAGGAATTTAAGGAAGGAAATGGAAAAGATAAGTGAAATGTCTCCAAATCTCCCACTTAAACATAGTCTTTGGTTTTTTTCTTTCTCAATTTTCCAACTCAAGCAAATAACTTGAAATTTGAATCATATCAATTCTTTTTCTTTTTATTTCTTTTTCTCGTTCCATTTCTCTCAATAAATACTTTATCCAAAAACAGCCATAGTGTTTAGATTCCTCTACTCCCATGTTGGCCATAGCATCTGCACATTTGTTTCCTTCTCAGAAAATATAAGCAATAGAATAGGTTGTACTTTATGAGAAGGAACCTCAGTCCTCCACCATAGCTATGCAAGGAAAGTTTTGGTTCGCTTCTTCACGATATAAGTTGACACTGTATTTGAATCTAAGTCTCTCTCTATTTTGTTGAGGCCATTTTGAAGAATGATAGTTAAACCCTTATATAATGTCCAAAATTTTGCCTCCAAACTAGTACAAATACCCAAATTCCCATAGTAGCCATGTATCTAGCATCCAGCTTCATCTCTAACTATGTACATGAGCTGTACGCAATATTAGATTGATTCTGTAATTAATGCTAGAAATTTGGTTAATTGACCAATCTTGTATATAAATATAGAAACAATAATTTGTTTCCATAGTTGTAGGATGTAATTGTATCTATATATGGCTTCTGTTTTAGAGAAGAATACATATTGGAAAATTATTCTACAGAAACTCTGTTGTTTGACATGGTATTAGAACAGGCTTGATTCCAAAAGAGTCCGCAATAAACAATCGTATACGTATTTTTTCTTCGAAGCTTATCACCCTCGTAAAGCTACTGTGAGTTTGATGGCTAACACTACAGGCGCATCAACCGAGCTTACTTCAGCACCAACACAACAGATTATCGTACCCCAAGACAACTCTGTTTTTCCAACTGGAATCACCCTCGATGAGACCAATTACCCATTATGGTCTCAACTCATGGAGATGCGTATTGGCGCTCGTAACAAAGTTAGATATCTCACCAGAGAAATGAAAAAACTAGAATTTGGAGATCCCAATCTTGGAGCATGGATTACAGAAAATCATAGAGTGAAACATTGGCTCATTGACTCAATGAGTCCATCGCTAATGCATCGATTTATTCGCCTCTCCACCGCCAAGGAGATATGGGAGGCCGTATAAAAAACGTTCTATGATGGGTCAGACGAAACTTGTGTTTTTGAGTTAAACTAGAGATTTGTTTCTACCAAGCAACATGGTTGACCATTATCAACATACTATGATGAACTTGTTGCTATTTTCCAGGAAATTGATCATACAACTACCTCTCAGGAAGGAACAGTCGAAGGGGTAATCCAGTTACATTCTGTGATGGCTAGGCTTCGAGTTCATATATTTTTAAGCGGACTTGACTCTAAATTTGATCAGGTTTGTGGAGAAATTTTGTGAAAATACCCAAAACTTGATTTGGAGAGCACATATGTATATGCCAGGAGAGAATATCAACAGAGATAGACAATGTGGAGCTATCATCCAATCTCTGAGAACTCAGCTATGCTAGCCAACCAAACTCGACAAGGATTATCCAACAATCAAAAAAATCAATCATTTGGAAAGACTAAAACCCTGGTATGCACTCACTGTGGGGAAAAAGGTCATTCACAATAGTGTTGTTACGAGTTTATTGGCTATTCGAAGTGGTGGGATTTTTCAAAGAAACCTCGTAAAAAGATTGCTGGAAAAGTTATGCTAACATCCACGGAAGAAAATCAGCCGCTACTTATGGCAAATGTTGCCCATCCATATATTATGGGTAAAGCATATGTATTCTCTACAGCTTCTAAGAATAGAACTTGGATTATTGATACAAGTGCATTCGATCACATGACGAGGGATTCCAGTTAGTTAAAATCCATTCTCCTTTCTTCTCAATCAATTATTCCACCACCAATGGTAGTACCTCCCCTATTGCTGGGGAAGGGTCTGTTATCTTGTCTAATACTCTCACATTAGATACTGTCCTTGTCGTTCCATCTCTTAAATACAATCTTTTGTCTATTAGCCAAATTACTTTAACTCTTGCTTGTACTGTAACTTTTTAGCCCTCGTTTTGTGTCTTTCAGAACATTCTAACTCGAAAGATTCTTGGTTATGGTGTTAGATGAGGCAAACTCTACTACTTGGAGTTGACAGAGAATGGGGGATCGAAAATCAGTTAGGCAAATCAAGCTAGCAATGAACACATGGCTCGAGAAACTATATGGTTATGGCACCATAAGTTAGGACATTTTTTTTTTGGTTATCTTAAGAAATTGCAACCACAACTTTTTTCAAGTTTAAATGATTCAAATTTTCATTGCGACACTTGTGAACTGGCTAAGAACCACCATATTCCTTATTTACCAAGTTTGAATAAAAGTTCAGAACCTTTTAAAGTTATTCACTATAATGTTTGGGGTCCTACAAAGGTTCCCTCTATTTCTAGAGCTCGTTATTTTGTGACATTTATTGATGAATGCACTAGAATGACCTGGGTGTCCTTGCTTATAAAAAAGAGTGATGTGTGTCTAGTTTTTCAGACATTTCACAAAATGATACACACTCAGTACCAAAAGCAGATTCGTGTTTTACAATCTAACAATGGTATTGAGTTTGTAAATGCCTCTCTTGGTAATTTTCTGAGCAACCATAGAATTCATCGTCAGACCTCATGCACCTATACTCCATAAAAAAATGGATTGGCTAAAAGGAAGAATAAACAACTTTTGAAGGTAGTGCATGCCTCCCTTTTTGGCATGAACATGCCGCGATTTTATTGGGGTGAGGCTGTGAAATCGGCTGCTTACCTTATCAACCGAACACCTATTCGGGTAATAGACTTCCAAACTCCTCAACAAAAACTGCAATCCTTACTTCTCCACCTTCCAAATCTTGAACCTCGAGTTTTTGGATGTACCATATATGTTCATATTCCCAAAATCTTGTGAACTAAACTTGATCCATGTGCAAAAAGATGTGTCTTTGTTGGCTACCCTGAATTTCAAAAAGGATATAGGTGCTATGATCCTCAAACCCGAAAGCTACATGTTACTCTAAATGCCTCTTTCCGTGAATTAGAGCCTTATTACTCTGGGGGAGTCTCTAGAAATTCTCTTTAGGGGGAGAGTTCAAGTGAAGAAAATGTTCAGTAAGAGAATAGTGGAGGTAAGGAGTTTATCGATGTAACAACCCCGACCCGTGATTAGCGCTAATTCATATTTATATATGCCTAATAAGTAATTAAGAAGAAATCCTGAGTTAATTACATGTGCATTGCATCATTTTGTGGTTATATCTGTTTAACGTAGAAAGATCTGTTCAAGTTTTAGTTTCGGTCTGCGAATTGAAGGCCTTATCGGTATCTGATTCTGAAATTGACTTGGAATATGCGTTATGTGGAATTTATAGAATTTTATGATAGGTTTAATTGAAATTCGATTTGGAACGATTGAATTAGAATAATAAATGTCAATGTGATTAACCTAAGTCAATATTAATTAAGCCACTTTAATTAAGCTTATATAAGGCTACTTTGACTTCCTTATTTTACTTTACACCTGTTAGACTTATTTATTTTGATGATTTATTTAATAATTTTTTTAATTTATTTGGAAGAGAAAAATAGAATCAAAATTTATTTTAATGATTTGTTTGAAAGAGA